TACCCCCTCCTCTGCTGCCTTGCCAAGTCCCAGTGTCTGTCATGGGTCCCTGTACGGCCTCCTCCCATTGCGGCTGCTCTCCATCGCCACACCTCTGCTGCCTTGTGCCACTTTCAGTCTCCTCACACTGCTGGTGTGTTCAATGTTTTTGACATTTAGGGTGCTGGCAGATTACGGGCCTCCATAGCTGCTGCCAGGCCCCTAATCTGCCATGCGGCCCATATATACCGCCTCCTCATGCTGCTCGCAAGTCCAGTGGTCTGTCATGGGTCCCTGTACGCCCTCCATTGCTGCTGTCCTTCCATCGCCACACGAACTGCGTAGCCCATGTGCCACTTTCAGGTCTCTTCACATGTTGCTTCCCGTGTGTTCAAATTTTTTGACATAGGGTGCTGGCAGATTACGGGCCTCCACATAGCTGCTGCCAGGCCCCTAATCTGCCATAGGCCCCTAATATACCGCCTCCCTCATGCTGCTGCCAAGTCCAGAGTCTGTCATGGGTCCCTGTACGGCCTCCCATTGCTGCTGTCTCCATCGCCACACTCTGCCATGTGCCACTTTCAGGTCTCCTCACACACTGCTGGTGTGTTAAATTTTTTGACATAGGGTGCTGGCAGATTACGGGCCTCCCATTGCTGCTGCCAGGCCGTAATCTGCCATGGGCACCCCCGTTACCGACTCCTCATGCTGTGACGTTTGCAACAAGGTGGAATTCAACCCTACATATGTTAGACCGCCTTTACGAACAGCAAAAGGCCATCACAGATTTCCTGATGTTAAAAGCGGATAAAGGTACTCCCTGTGTAACTTAGATGTCAGCCATTGGCAGCTCATGCGTGACACCTGCGCTTGCTCAGGCCCTTTGAGGAGGCCACGCTATTCGTGAGTCGGCAGGACTATGGGATGAACGACGTCATTCCTCTGTTGCACGTCCTGGAACAAATGCTGTTAACAAGAAGAGGAGGAGGTAGAGGAGGACATTGGTGCTCAGGAATTATTGAGTGAAATGGGTGGGTTTTTCCACTCAGCGGACAGGAGTGGAGGAGCAGGAGCATCTGGTGGAGGAGGAGGAGGAGGAGGAGACAGAGGACCCAGACGCACCGTGGCAGTATGCTGTGGAGATGGAGGCAGGGAAGTCCCTCGCATTCCTTGGCACAAATGGCCCATAGCATGCTCGGTTGCTTGCGTAGCGACAGCCGAATAATAACCATCAGACAGAGGGATGACTTTTGGCTGTCCACCTTGTTGGACCCTCGCTACCGTTCAAAAATGGTGGCCTTTTTCACACCTGCTGAGAGGGAGGCCAAAATAACGTACTATAAAAACCACCTATGTAGTCAGCTGGTCTCTGCCTGTCTGCGCCAACGTCCATCCTCAGACACTGTGGGCCCTGTGCGCTCGCGTTCCGCTGCCATGGCAGCAGGGGAGGGGGTGGGGTGGTAGGAGCAGTGGCAGCTCCACCAGCAGCGGCTGCCTCAGTCTGCAGTCGATGATGAGTAGCTTTCTTCACCAGCGCAGTGAGGAAACTACTAACCAGCCGCAGCAGCAGCAGCAGCAGCAGCATCAGGTGGACCTGGAGCAGGACCTCAAACAACAGGCTTAGGCCTACTTGGACAGCACCCTGCCAACCGAGGTAGACAATCCCCTTGACTACTGGGCAACGAAACTTGACCTTTGGCCCCAACTAGCTGAATTTGCCCTTGAAAGGCTGTCATGCCCGGCCAGTAGCGTGGCATCGGAGCGCGTGTTTAGTGCGGGCAGGAGGTATTGCAACTCCGCGGAGGACACGACTGTCCACCCAAAGTGTGGAGAGACTGACGTTTGTGAAAATGAATCAGGCGTGGATTAGTCTGGATTTCAAACCACCAGTTCCTGACACAACTGACTAAATCCGCCATGAATCATGCCCAAACATGTGCCACTTTCAGGTCTCCTCACACTGCTGTGGTGTGTTCCATTTTTTGTCATAGGGTGCTGGCAGATTACGGGCCTCCCATAGCTGCTGCCAGGCCCCTAATCTGCCATGGGCCCCTATACCGCCTCCTCATGCTGCTGCCAAGTCCAGAGTCTCTCATGGGTCCCTTTACGGCCTCCCATTGCTGCTGTCTCCATCGCCACACTCTGCCATGTGCCACTTTCAGGTCTCCTCACACTGCTGGTGTGTTCCATTTTTTTGTCATAGGGTGCTGGCAGATTACGGGCCTCCCATAGCTGCTGCCAGGCCCCTAATCTGCCATGGGCCCCTATACCGCCTCCTCATGCTGCTGCCAGGTCCAGAGTCTCTCATGGGTCCCTGTACGGCCTCCCATTGCTGCTGTCTCCATCGCCACACTCTGCCATGTGCCACTTTCAGGTCTCCTCACACTGCTGGTGGGTTCCATTTTTTGTCATAGGGTGCTGGCAGATTACGGGCCTCCCATAGCTGCTGCCAGGCCCCTAATCTGCCATGGGCCCCGTACCGACTCCTCATGCTGCTGCCAGGCCCGTAATCTGTCATGGGCCCCTGTTGTCGCTTGTTGGCATATTCCGCTTGTTCAGTTGCTCCTTCTCCTGCTACTCCTCTTCACGGATTCCGTCAGCAGTCTTTCTTGGAATCCGTTTCCAAGAGACAACAGTTTGCGAGCACGCACCCGACGGTGCAGAAGCTGAACGTCCTCCTGTCCAAGTTGCTGCTGCCAGGCTCGTAATCTGTCATGCTCCCCTGTACCGCTCCTCATGCTGCTGCCAGGTCCAGAGTGTGTCATGGGCCCCCGTACCGACTCCTCATGCTGCTGCCAGGCCCGTAATCTGTCATGGGCCCCTGTACCGCCATCCCCATGCTGCTGCCAGGTCCAGAGTGTGTCATGGGTCCCTGTACGGCCTCCCATTGCTGCTGCCAGGCCCGTAATCTGCCATGGGCCCCGTACCGACTCCTCATGCTGCTGCCAGGCCCGTAATCTGTCATGGGCCCCTGTACCGCCTCCTCATGCTGCTGCCAGGTCCAGAGTGTGTCATGGGTCCCTGTACGGCCTCTCCATTGCTGCTGTCTCTATCGCCACACTCTGCCATGTGCCACTTTCAGGTCTCCTCACACTGCTGGTGGTTTCCATTTTTGTCATAGGGTGCTGTATGGCCTCCCATTGCTGCTGCCTCCACCGCCACACTGTGGCTCCACACTCTGGTTTTGGCCCGTGACTGCCCAAATGAGTGAAGTGTGCGGTGATTCTAAGATCGACGGCACTCATCTGCATGTCATACTGACTGACAGTATTATTTCTCTTCCCCAGCAGACTCCAAGGGCATTTAAATTAAAGGTACAGTGTTCTGCACTAATATTAAGTCTCTCTGAAGCCTAGAAACACCCTTTTTTTAAGTTAAATTCACAGCGAATATATTCGACTCAAATCGAAATTTTTCCACGAATTCGCCGAATCAGTCGAATCGAATTTTTGAATACTTCGCTCATCTCTAATTATAAACTTCCTACAATACTTTCATTGCCAACTGAGAATGCCTTCCCCACAGCTGCATTTCTTCTACTGGTGTCATAGGAAATTATATTCTTTTTTGGATAAGCATGATAGAAGTTCCCACTACAGTGCAGCTAATCTTCTGTCATCTGGTCTTGAAGGCCAAACTTTAGAATGAAGTGTAATGGACATTGATTCATGGGTTTCCAGAGGGAAGGAGCTCACATCTTAATAGATAATAGTATAATCTAGTGAAAAGATTTACTCAGTGACATTAATTCCAAAATTTCCAAAATTAGCAATATCAATTGTTCTAGATTTCTTCTTCCAAGTCCCCATGTCTCTGTTCCTCCTTGAGGTTATGCGTCTCCTCACCCCTAGCCCTCTTTGAGGTGATGTATCATCTCTCTGGCCCTCTTTAAGATAGTGTCCCCTTACTCTCTTTGGTCCCCTTTGAGCTGGGTGTCTTCTCTTCCCTGGCCCTCTTCAAGCTGAAGTACGTATTAGCTCCGTTCCCTCCCTTGATTTGTGCGCTGTCTCCACCTCTTGTCCTCCTTTGAGCTTCATTGTCTCCTCCATTTATAGGACTATTTCAATTGTTGTTTAATTTTCCATCTACCCGCCACCCAAACTATTGTTTACCTTTCTGTCTGACTGTCCTTCAGATAGTGTGTCTTATTCTCTCTGTCTCTTCTTGAGATGTTGTGCCTCCTCTCTTTGCCCTCCCCAAATAGGTGTTTTTCTCCTCTCAGGTCCCCCTTTGAATTTGAACTTGTCTGTTTTTTCCTCACTAGCCCTCCCTCCTGTCTTTGGCCCTCCTTGAGATGCTGTGTTCTCTTCTCTCTGTCCCTTCTTGAGATAGTGTGCCTCTTCTCGTTTGCCCCTTCAAAATGATGTTTTTCTTCCTCTCAGGGCCTCTTTTGTAATTAATGTTTTTGTCAGGAGTGTGCAAATTGTCTTGTTCTTTGACAGCTGTTGGTCTTATTGCAGAATCCTGGTTTTGGCTATGATGCATCCCTGTTTGTCTGTCCACCTGCAAGGTGATTGATATGGCCAGCCTCTGGGTGGAGACCAAAGTTGATTTAAGCCAGCCAAGCCTGCAGTCTCATGCTTGTGATGGCGTGTGTAATACGTGTTCCAAACTCCCTGTTTTTCTGCCCTGCTCTGCCATTTGGATTCAATTGTTGATGACCTCAGACTGGATATTGCACTATTCTCTGAACTCTGCCTGCCTTTTGACCTGGACTGTTATTGAATCACTCTGTTTGTCTGACAACAACTAGTACCTGTTTTCTTTGCTATGTTTGCCCCTGCCCTGGTGTGGTGGCCAGGCACTATAGCATTGTGTATAAGTCCTGGGGGCAACCGAGTACTGCTAGGTCTGTTTGCCTTATGGGAAAGGCGGATGTTATAGGTGAAGAACACAGAAGCTAGCAATGGTGCCTGACCACCTGTGTGACAGGTTTTCCCTCATCTCTATCCCTCATTGAAAGCCCGTCCTCCTTCATGTCTTAAACCTGTACGTTGTCTCCTCTCTTTATCTTTGACACATTTTAGTCTTCGTGTCTTTTCCTTTTTGTCCTCTTTGAATTGTTGTTTCCTTTCTTCTCCTTTAGCTGGTGATTCTCCCTCTCTCTTACTCCTCTTGTAGTGATTTCCTCTCTTTGGCCCTCTTTGAGCTGGTGTGTCTTCCCCTCTCTGGCCCTCTGTGATTTGATGTGTTACCTCTTTACTGTCCCTTCTTAAAGCGGAGCTCCACCCAAAAGGGGAAATTCCACTTTAAGCCTTTGTCCCTCACTCCCCATTAAGGATTGGCACCTTTGGGTAGCGGGTACCCAAATTTGATAGGTTGTCCTCTCCCCTCCCTCCCCATAGTCTTCTGGAACACATGACAAGTCCCAGAAGACTATGGAGCCATTCACAAAGTGTAGCACTTCTCGCGCATGCGCAGTGGGCACCCAGCTGTGAAGCCCACATTGAAGATGCCGGCGCCAGGGAGAGAAGATGGATGGTGAAACCAGTGGTGGTGAGGACACTGCTGGACCATGGGACAGGTAAGTGCCTGTATTGTAAAAGTCAGCAGCTACAGTTTTTGTAGCTGCTGACGTTTATTTTCTCTTTTTAGGTGGAACTCCGCTTTAAGCTGATGTTTCTCCTCCCCTCTGGCCTCTATTGAATTGATAAATGTCTTTCTCTCTGGCCCCTCTTGAACCGGTGAGTCTCCTACTGTGTCATCACTTTAAAACTGTTTTAAGTTCTTTATTCTGGCCCTGGTTTATCTGCTCTCTGCTCCTTCTCCATTAAATGTCTTCTTTGGCTCTCCCTCGATCTTGTGTGCCTCCTCTGCTTTATCCATTCTGAGTTTGTCTTTTTTCTATTTTCTTTTCTTTCAATCAGAATGTCGCTTTCAAATTTACTATCATTCATTTACAGATTGCTGACCTTAATTCTTGGGTTTCAACGCATATTAAGAAAAAAGAATGCGTTGCTTTCATCCCACAAAAGTCTAGTGATGGGTAAGTACGTCATCTGCAACAGAGTTCTGTGGAATATTTTGGCCCACAATGATAAAAGATATTAATCAATGTGTTTAATTGCAAGCAACAGGAGGCCCGTTTTTAGAAGCTTCATTGCTGCAGATTAACTGATCTACTATGATCTATTACCTGATCTACTATGATCTATTACCTGATCTACTATGATCTATTACTGATCTACTATGATCTATTACCTGATCTACTATGATCTATTACCTGATCTACTATGATCTATTACCTGATCTACTATGCTATGTCACTGATGTTCTGTCCCTTTAAGGCACAGTTCAGATCTGGGCACCCATTCATTTCAATAGCCTGCCTCACCCAGAGAAATGAAGGAAGGAAAAAAAAATCCCCAACCCTTTTTTTTTTAAATTGTGCGGCACCAAACTGCATGGTGCTGTGGTAACATGCGGTTTTGCATGTGTGAAAATGCACCACAAGTGCAGATGTGTGGGAGTGCCATTAACAATGGCACCCCCATATGTATGCTAAATTGCAGTGCGTTTACTTTGTGGTTTGGGAATGTGCGTGATTTTACACGTGGTCCCGATTTTACATTTCGCATTCCCCAGCTGCAGAGATGTGAAGATTAACTGGAACATCAAAATCCTTCCAGTCTCCACAACAATAATGCATTTCTTCTGCTGTGGCCTACACATCATGCCATAAATGTGTCTATAGGATCCTATACGTTCATTGTTTGTTGTGTATGGTGGAATAGGTCATCAGTGCTGGCAGAGGCGTAGCTAGGGGGGGGCAGGGGGTACATATGTACCCGGGCGCCAAGGTACAGGGGCGCCAAAATGAGGCTTACAACCAAGGGCGTATTTGCCGTGAGGCAAACAAGGCTTTTGCATAGGGCGGCACATTTTAGGGGGGCAGCGCGGTGCCACCGCCTCCCTTTCAATGGAAGGGACACTTAGTACAGGGGCGGGCAGCGGGCTGCTGTGTCTTACCTGGCTACGTGTCCCAGTCCCACCGATCCAGTCCAGGAGGCGCTGCTGGAGGAGGGGTTGAGAGGTCTGCAGGTCCGGTGTCTTCTTTTCCCTGAATGCGATGTGTGGGCAGGATGGCATGCCGCCCCTGTCATTTGGCCACACCCTCGGGAAAACTGGACAGCCTATGGCAGCTTGTACTTCCCTCTACAAGCTCCGCCAGAACTGTAGCTCAGGAAAGGCACACAGGCAGCCAATCACCTGCGAGAAGGCGGAGCTTGGAAAGGAGGAGCCGAGCGGCAGCGCGAAGATCGAGTGAGGGAGCGGCCGGAGCAAGTGAAGAAGACAGCTGACCGGTAAGTGTGCCGTGCGGATGGTGCTGCTGCTGCAACCAGGTATGCTGGCTGTGGATGGGAGAGGGAAGGAGCCTAGGCTGGAGCAGGGATCAGCAAGGTAAGTGTCATTGGTGTCAGTGGGAGGAATAGTGCCCCATAATTGGTGTCAGTGGGAGGAATAGTGTCCCATCATTGGTATCAGTGGGCGGAATAGTGCCCCATCATTGGTATCAGTGGGAGGAATAGTGCCCCATCACTGGTGTCAGTGGGAGGAATAGTGCCCCATCACTGGTGTCAGTGGGAGGAATAGTGCCCCATCACTGGTGTCAGTGGGAGGAATAGTGCCCCATAATTGGTATCAGTGGGAGGAATAGTGCCCCATCACTGGTGTCAGTGGGGAGGAATAGTGCCCCATCATTGGTGTCAGTGGGAGGAATAGTGCTCCATCACTGGTGTCAGTGGGAGGAATAGTGCCCCATCATTGGTGTCAGTGGGAGGAATAGTGCTCCATCATTGGTGGCAGTGGGAGGAATAGTGCCCCATCATTGGTGTCAGTGAGAGGAATAGTGCCCCATCACTGGCGTCAGTGGGAGGAATAGTGCCCCATCATTGGTGTCAGTGGGAGGAATAGTGCCCCATCATTGGTGTCAGTGGGAGGAATAGTGCCCCATCATTGGTGTCAGTGGGAGGAATAGTGCCCCATCATTGGTGTCAGTGGGGGGAATAGTGCTCCATCATTGGTATCAGGGGGAGGAATAGTGCCCCATCATTGGTATCATTGGGAGGAATAGTGCCCCATCATTGGTATCAGTGGGAGGAATAGTGCCCCATCATTGGTGTCAGTGGGAGGAATAGTGCCCCATCATTGGTATCAGTGGGAGGAATAGTGTCCCATCATTGGTATCAGTGGGAGGAATAGTGCCCCATCATTGGTATCAGTGGGAGGAATAGTGCCCCATCATTAGTATCAGTGGGAGGAATAGTGCCCCATCATTGGTGTCAGTGGGGAGGAACAGTGCCCCATCATTGGTGTCACTGATGTGATTAAATGGGGA